TAGTTCCAGCTACTCGGAAGGCTGAGGTGGAAGGATCGCCAGAGCCCAGCAAGTCGAGGCTGCGGTGGCTGGGAGCAGCCACTGCACTCCAGTCTGGGTGACAGAGTGAGACTCCAACTCAAAAAAAAAAAAAGAAAAAGAAAAACATTTTGTAAATTATACAAAAGCAGAACATATAATTAAACGCAAACAAGACAAACTCCCAAACAAAATACAAAACACGTTTTAACTTGTTGCAGCTTTCCAGACCCTCATCCCTCGGTTAGTTAACAGCACAGGGAGTGTGTACACATGACTGTGACTTGTCGGCGGCATGACTGCACATGTGTCAGGGACAGGGAAAGCCTGCTGAATCGAGGCCCTGTAGCAAAGCTTGAGCCCACAGGCTATTTATCCCCCCTGGCCTAGTGGTAACAGCCTGAGCTTCCGAGTCCTGTGGTAGCAGAAGATAAACCAGGCCACGCCCACTCACCGTCTCCTGCGGGCCTGTTTCTTGGCCTACAAAATGGGATCATTCTATTTACGTAATAGCACTACCGTGAGAATTAGATCAGATAAGTAAATCACTTAACACAATATCTAGAATATAGTAAATACTCAATAAATATTAGCTGTTATTATTCTAAAGTTCACATTTACAGAGCAACTAATAACTTTAAAAAGCCTTCTATATACGTGTGTATGTGTGTGTGCGCGTGCATTTTCATTTACTTAAGTATTTACTGAATAGCATATGCATCTGACTGTCAGAACAATTGTGAGGCACATCTGATAGTCCAAGGCAGGAGACACTCATTTTAAACTTTTGTTCTCAATAGTAAATATCATAAGTCATGCTACTTTCTGCAAGCTGACGTTCTTCTTGTGTGCTACTGTGGCCCTCATCTCTGCAGCCTGCCTACTTCTGCAGCCAGCCCACTCAGACCCTTCTCCCGATTCCTGGCTGCTCCGACAAGTACCAGCACGCAACCTACGACGTTATCGCTATGCACATGGCCGACCAGATTCCAGAAGGGCAAGGATGAGGTCAGTTATGTCTTTTGAGCCCCACAGAGGCTGCAGCTATGGAAAAATGAAAAGTCAGCTGTTGATAAGTTGCTGCCATCTACCCTTCATTACGAACGACATTTGGAAAAAAAGTAACTGGAGATTATTTCCAGTGTAGAATACACTCGGTTTCGAGGCACTGCATGAAAACACCTTATTCTCTATCAAAGGATATTTTCATGGTTGGGCGGGGCGCACACAAGAACTGTTCTGTTGATCTAGATATTACAGAATTGGGTTAAACTCTAGAGTCCTGCACGAGCACAGTATTTTGACAGGTCCTTGTATCACTTAGCAGGCGATCCATAACCAAAGCTGTCATCTCCCGAGGATGCTATGTGGGAAACCACCTGTTAATACAGGACGTCGGCGATCTGCAACCTGGAAGGCCCTCACCGGAACCTGAGCATGCTGGCGCCCTCATCACCAATGTCTAGCCTCCATCACGGTGAAAATTAACGTTTGCTGTTCAAGCCACCCAGTCTGTGGTACTTCGTTACAGCAGCTCAACATGTCTAAGACATCGCACTGCCACCATACCTTCGGTTTAATTTGTCCTTAGTCTTCTCGATGAGGAGAGGGAAAGGGAACAACAAGATGAGGTGAGAGGGCAAGGCGGAGCTTGGGACTCTGCTGGCCTGAAGAGCAGAGCACTGGACCCAGAAGGACACTAACGGCCAGGCTCAGGAGCCCTCAGATTTCCAGAACCGCTCCGGGCTCAGGAAGCCCAGATCATCCGGACCAACTGCCATCGTAATGCCTGAATCCCTGACTAGGTGCTTAGGCCCTCTGCCGACTGTCTTTGAGAAAAAGCAGTCATCGTCATTCAAGGTCCACACCGGACTCCTAGTTACTACAGACTGAGTCAAACCCTACCTCCCTGTGGCTTATCCCAGTGAAGCACCGTTCCACTCTGTGTGACAGCTGCTGAAAGTCGGCTGCCATGTCCTTCCTGAGGCTTCTCCACGCTAAACACCTACAGCTGTTCACTGAGTATGGGTTCGAGTCCCGCTCCATTCAGACGACCAGCCAATGAAAACTGAGGACCCTTAGAGGACAGCCAGCCCAAATCAGTGACTCCTGTCACGGGGTCACCACCACACAGCAGAGAGGAACGATTCCCTCCTTCCTTCTAGATGCCAACAGGACATGCAGGAGCATTTGCAGAATCATATCCTCTGATTCATTTTACGACTGCCCACGAAATCCATTCAATGTTTAAAAATTGCAGTGGTTAAGCTACGGCGTGCTGAAGAGAACCCTGGGTTAGAAGTCAGTGGATCTGAATCATGGTCCATTTCTGCCACTCAACTCTAAGTGACCGCAGGCAAGTCAAGTTCTTCATCTACAAGACAGGCAGCTAGACCAGATGCTGGACAGTCCCAGCCCAGCTCTCTTCCCTGTCACCTCCTGCCTCCATGCCAGTCTCCATTCTCCAGAGGAGCACTTGAGCCTCACCACTCCCTTGCCAGTGACCTTGGGAAAACAAAAAGTGGCTTTTCCTAATCAATACTTCAGGATATCCTGTACAAGCTAATAAAAGTCCACGCTTACCAGATTTGCAACTGTCTACTAAGTCGTCTTCCAGGATGACCCTCATAGATCGTGGAATGCTTCCAACAGATAGCCTCTGCACCTAGAGGAGAATGAAAACAGACTTGAGTGCTCAAAAACGTGCTGAGTGTCCAGGCGCCTAGCAGTATTTGAAGCTACTATTTTTATCTCACTGGCATTAACACACCATTCAATTGTGATGGGATTCAAGACATTTTTCTTAAAAGCTAGTCTTATCAACCTAAGCATTCACTAAAACTAGAGTAAAATAAAAGCACCAATATGGAGGATATCTCTAAATACAATCTGTCATGTGGATGGTCATGTGGATAGTAAACATGCTCCAACTACTCAATATAGTTACAAATAACCTAAGAACAAAGTTATCTATCTAGAAAAGAGGAACATTTCTTTCCTGAGATCTGATTGAAAGATCTCGGACAAATCACCCAGTCCCAATGATGATTCCTCAGTAAAAGAACCTGGTTTTACTCCATGTGGACATATGCCTAATAAAAAGACTGTTTCCCAGGCTCCCTCAAAGGTGGGTGTGGTCACAGGACTAAGTTCTGGCCAGCAAGATGCAAGCAGACATGCTGGAGGCGTCTTTCAGGGAGACTGCTTAAGTGAAGACTTGGTCAAGACGCTTTTGCCCATTCCTGCTTTCTCTTCTCTGACTACAACACACATGTGACAGTTGTAGCCACCATCCTGGACCACAGACAGCCATCAGAAGAGAAGCCTTGTGTTAAGAACAATGGAACAGAAGGATAGGAGTCTGAGTCTTCAACACTGAGCTAGCCTGGGACTGTCTATCTCTTGTCTGCTTTAGGTAAGAAAATAACCTTTGTGTTCAATTGGCAAGTACACGAAGATCAAGCTAGCCCTCACTTGTTAAAGAGTGTTTACGTGCACTTCGTTTGGTGCAGCAAGTTAATTGGGTATAAACTCCAAATCCTCTTCAGGGTTTTCTTAGAGACAGGGTCTCACTGTCACCCAGGGTCAGTGGTGTCATCATAGCTCGCTGCAGCCTCAAACTCCTGGGATCAAATAATCCTGCCACTTCAGCCTCTCAGGGAGCTGGGACTATAGGTGCGAGCCACCATGCCTGGCCACTCCAGTGTTTAGCACCCATTTAAGTGTTGATTAATCTCCTACCCCTCAGTTAAGTACAGCTTCCTAAATATTCACTTCTTTAGTATTAGCCTAATGCTTAAGCCATGCCACAACCTTCTTGTCAAAGCTCGATCTAAAAATATGAATTTGCATAGTTCCTGAAGACTGTAGGTGGACGAGTTTCAAGCTTGAGCTTCCAGAAAGTGATGAGACACATCCCTTTGTGTCCGTTCTGTGTTCCCTAGCCCTAACAATTTGCCCATAGAGCAAAAGCACTTCTTCTGACTTGTTACCTACTTCATGCATGTGATCACTTACCTGCTCCTGAATTTTGATTTCCTGGTAATCTCTACACCTGGCTGGAGATGAAGACAAGCCTGAGAGGCAAGTAAATTTAGAGGAATCACAGCTCTCCAAGCTGGGACATGAAGATGGCTGGCAGAAGGTGTAATATTGCTCAAAGTCGGCCTTGACCACAAACACATGCTTGCACTTGTTACACATGTAATCCCGCTCAAACTCCAGGACCTTCACCAGGCTTGTCCGAATCACGGTCCCAGTGACAGATAAAAAGTGTCCCACATCCTTGGTTTTAGGTATGTGCTCCCTCACCAGCTCAGGACAGACAGGCAAACCTGATAGGGAAGACAAAATAAACCCAAAAAACAGCATCAACTTATACCTTGACTCCATGGAATATATTCTTCTCATATTCCCCGGGACACAAATTATAATTTCTTTTTTTTTTAAATTTTTTCAATTTTATTTGAAAGATGTGGGGTACAATTCAGGGTTAGGCATACAAATGTTGATGATGCAGGTACCCTTGTTGATGAGGTGTGCCCCTCCCTCCCCTAGCAGTTTCCCTCAATTGACAATCCTACCCTCTCTCCCCTGGCAGTTTCCCTCTACTGCCAATTGCTTTCTGATAGTATTATAATTGTTCAAGGTCCACTTATGAGTGAGAACATATGGTGCTCTGTTCTTTGTTTCTGTGATAGATCACTGAGTATGATCGACTCTAAATCCATCCAAGTTGCTGCGAAATCCTTATGTTTGTCCTTCTTTATGGCTGTGTAATATTCCATTAAATGTACCACATTTTTTTAACCCAGTCCATCTTTGATGGGCAGCATGGTTGGTTCCATCTTTTTGCTATTGTGAATAGAGCTGCAACAAATTTGCCTACTGACAAATTATAATTTCAAAAAACAAATCTCTGTATTTTACTTAAGAAAAGTAAAATCACCGGGTAAGGTGGCTCATTCTCGTAATCCCAACACTTTGGGAGGTGGAGGCGAGAGGATTGCCTGAGCTCAGAGGTTTGAGATCAGTCTGGCCAACTTGGCAAGTCCTCGTCTCTACAATAAATAAAAAAATTAGCCAGGTGTGGTGGTGCGCACCTATGGTTCTGCATACTGGGAAGGCTGTTCTGCATACTGGGCAGGCTGAGGCGGAAAGATCATCTGAGCCCAGCAGGTCAAGGCTGCAGTAGCCATGAGTGCGCCACTGCACTCCAGCCTGGGCGACAGAGTGAGACTCTGACTCAGAAAAAAGGAAAGAAAAGGAAAAAAGGAGTCTTGCGCAGGGCACATCAGTTCACGCCTGTAATCCCAGCACTTTGGGAGACTGAGGCAGGAGGATGGCTTGAGCCCAGGAGTTTGAGATCAGCCTGGGTGAGAGTGAGACCTCGTCCTTACAAAAAATAAGGTGGTGCTCGCTTTGTAGTCCCATCTGCTGGGGAAGCTGAGACGAGAGGATTGCCTGAAGCCAGCAGGTAGAGGCTGCGGCGGGCGTGAGCATGCCACCACACTCCAGCCTGAGCAACAGAGTGAGACTCCGACTCAAAAGAAACGAAAAAAGAAAAGTAAAATCAACTCAGTTAAGAGAATACAAAGAATTATTCCAAATAACAACAATCAGTAGATGCCTGTTCAAAGCACGTGGCTAGGTGATATGACGACAAACACCTCAAAGGCGGTGGAGTCGCGCAAGAAGGTTATCTCAGCAGATCTAAATATGGCATAAAGTTGTAAGCACATTGAACGAAGAGTATGCTACTGCTGCTCGCCACCATAAAGGCGGTTGATGGCTCTGAGTAAACCACAGAGCAGACTGATAAACTGCTGGCGGCATGGTGGCCAAAGAGTTCCAAAGTGCTCGAAAGTCATTGCTTTTTCCACTTAGACTCAGGATTTACTGATACACAAACCTGACAGTGCTTTCAAGCTTTGACTTACCTAGATGTTAACCCACAGCATCGTTTTACCCTTTATAAGCCTTGTGTTTTCAACATTAAAAAACAGGCCACTTTTAAAAAGGTGCAAAATGTCAAAGAAAATTCTTATGTGGAAATGCCCTTCCTCACGTTTGGCTACAACGCACCACTGGAGTGGAAAGGGGTGGTGGTCAAGGCTACCTCCCCACAGGTTTATCGAGACAGCGTTTGTCAGGCGGGTTCATGACCCGTGTCTGTCGTCTTGTCCTCAGAACGTGGTGGCTCAAAAGCCAGGGAAGTGCGGACGCCAGAGTCTGAGCTGCCAGAGTGTCCAGTTCGTGAGAAATAACCACAATAGGCATCATCATCATTCCTCAGCTTTCGGTGGTCAGCGTGCTTTTTTCCCTGCTGACACTGCTGCGCTGAAAGCCGGAGAGCAATAACTACTCCCCGAAGGCAGTTCAGGAAGCAGGGGAAAAGGCAAACTTGTCAGCACCACTGAAGGTTTGAGGTGCCAGGCTACGTAAGCCTGCCGTTACAGGTGAGGAGGCTAGGCAGACGTGGATCTTCTCTGCTGGCTGGCTGAGACTGTCTCTACACAGTGTGTGCCGAACAGATAGATACACAAGACAGGCCTTGCCAGCATCTGACACCTGACTGCCTTTCCTGCGCTTCCAAGGCTGACTCGCCCATTTTCTGATAAACCTATTTTTTGTTGGTATTAATCCAGATTTCATCACATTGTGCACTGGGGAAGCCGGCTTTCTGTTCCTATCCCAGACTGTTCAGACACAAGAAAGAATTAGGAGATCTGTCTCCGACTGGAACCTTCTGGGGCCTTTTACCTTTCTTTCATGCCCCACAAGATTTCAATTAAGATGCAATTTACATGCCATAAAACGGACCCTATAACGTGTCCAGTCAGCGCTCCTCGGTGTCTTCACGATATCGTAACTAGATTCATGACAACCATCCCCACGACCTAACTCCAGAGCATTTTGTCACTGCAAAAAGAAGCGCTCTGCCCCCTGCCCAGTGGCACGCAATCCACATGTTCCCTACCCCAACTGCTCGCAACCAATAGTGTACTTTTGGTCTCTATGAATTCACCTATTCTGGACATTTTATATACAGATGTTCCTTGACTTACAATGGGGTTGCAATCCAAAAAACCCATTGTAAATGGAGAATATTGTAAGTCACAAACGCATTTGATACTCCTAACCTACCAAACATCATAGCTTTGCCTAGCCTATCTTACACGTTCAGAACATGCTAAGTCAACCTACAGCTGGGCAACATTACCTAATACAAAGTCTACCAAGTAATAGAGTGTTCAATATCTTCTGTAATTTCGTGACTACTATACTGAAAGTGAAAATCAGAATGGTTTACGGGTACTTGAAGTACAGTTTCTACCGAGTGTGTATCACTTTCCCATAGTCATAAACTTGAAAACCCTTCAGTTGAACCATCATAAGTCAGGAATACATGAATGGAATCATATACTGTGTAGCCTTTTCAATCTGGCTTCATTCACTTAGCATAGTATTTTCAAGATTCATCCACATTGAAACATAAACAGTACTTAATTTCTTTTTATGGCTGAATAATATGTCACTGGGTGGATGGACCACATTTTGTTTGTCTACTTATTAGGTGATTGACTTTCTAGCTGTTATGAATAACACTATAAAGGTTCACGTGCAAGTTTTTCTGTGAACACCTGTTTGCAGTTTTCGTAGATGTTCACCTAAGAGGCAGAACTTCTGAGTGATATGGTTGCTAGAAGAATGTTAAAAATAACTTTGTATCTGTGAGAGGTCACTGGGTCCTCTCGATTATCTGTATACAGAAGAGTACTCCAGTGGGAAACATGATGTTTTGCCTAATGTGCTTCTTAAAACAGAAACAGAATCTCCTAACAATTACTTCCAAGAAGATGTGGAAGGCAAAGAGGAGACTAAGAAAAAAAAAGAATGGGTGAAGAAAACTTATTTTAACAATAACTTCTTTGGATCTTTGAAACGTTCTTTCTTTCTTCCTTAGCCCTAAAGAAATATTATTGCCTTCCATTTCAACTCCCCTATTCCAGTTCTGCTTCAGGTACAAATTGATTACTTAGCTTAAATTATTAAAACTTGAGAAAAACTAAGATCAGGGTCGGCCCAGTGGCTCGCACCTGTAATCCCAGATCTTCGGGAGGCGGAGGTGAGAGGACTGCCTGAGCCTAGAGGTTCAAGACCAGCCTGCGCAGCTTGGCAAGACCTTTTCTCTATGATAAATCACAAAATTACCCCGGTATGGTGGCATACGCCTGTGGTTCCAGAAGGACTGCCTGAGCTCAGGAGTAGAGGCCGTGTAGTCCTAAGCGTGCCCCTGTACTCCAACCTGAGCAACAGAGTGAGATTATGACTCAGAAAAGAAAAAGGAAAGAAAGCAGAAAAAGAAAAAGAGAAGAGATGAAAAAACTAAGATCACCAGACCCAGATTATAGACAGTGTTGTGTTATTCTGAGGCCACGCACAACGGAAGAATGCCCAGTATACACTACAGATTGCCTAGTGTAACTTAAGAGTCTTTGGGTTTTCCACGTAATAAGAGGAAGCAAAGCCAAACCGCACTTCTCTTTTGGAGGGCGGGTCCCTTGTTCGTGTAGCACAGGCTTCTCCCACCAGGAACGCATTGGCATCAGTGTGCCAGCTGGTATTGTTGAGAGAGGCTGCGTTCAACTTCAGTAAATTTTCTTTGGAGGTTCTTTCAACGCATTTGCCCATTTCGTGATGGGTGACTTATGAGTGCACCTGTGAACACCACCCTGAGTGTTCAGCAGTTTTTGACCAGAAACAGCATGACCCCAATGCCCCATCTACCTATTCACCCAATCTTGCCACGAGGAACTTTTTTGGTTTCCTAGGATAAAAAAAAAATCCTCACAGGGAAACGTTTTGCTGACATGGAAGAAGTGAAACAAAAAAACAGTGGAAGCACCGAAAGGCATCAAAATTGATGAGTTCAAAAATCGTTTTAAGCAGTGTTTCCACTGCTTGATGGGTGTATTGCATCAAATGGAAAGCACTCTGAAGGTGACTGAAGTTTAAACATGTAAGAATAACTATACAATTTTTTTTTTTTTTTTTTTTTGAGACAGAGTCTCACTCCTTCGCTCAGGCTGGATGGAGTGCAGTGGAATGTTCACGGCCATGCCAACGTCAACCTGCCGGGCTCCAGCGATCCTTCCGCCTCAGCCTTTCAAGTCGCCAGAACTATAGGTACGCGCTACCACCCCGGCTAATTTTTGATTTATTGTAGAGACAAGGTCTCGCCAGGTTGCCTGGACTGGAACCTGCGGGCTCAGGCAATCCACTTGCCTTGGTTACCAAAGTGCTGGGATGACAGGCTGAGCCACCAAGCCCAGCCCATATACAATTTTTGATAAATAAATTACATTTTGGGGGTTCCCACTTGTACATAAATGATGAAGTCTTATAAACACAGCTTAAAAACACAGCTATGTGTATTTTAATTGTAGTCTTTTTTCCTAGAAAGCTGCCTTTCTATATCATCATCTCTGACCTTTCAGTAACCAAAGAACAAAGACACTTTTGGAATAGAGATAAGTTCATGTTGATTACTTTAGGTTCAAGGTCCTCTGAATATAGTCTCTGGATGCAGGTCAGCATCACCTGGGAGATAGTGGAAAGGCAGATTCTTGGGCTCTACTCCCAGACCTCGTCAACTATAAACCGGGGGTGAGCCCAGAAATCATTGTTTTAGCAGGCCTTCCAGGGGATTCTCAAGTCCATGCACGTCTGAGAACCACTGCTTTAAAGAGCACATGATTGCTTTCTTTATCTTTTACTTTGGTACAAACTATGTATTTTGAACATCTTTTCTCTAAACCATTGGAAATACTACATTAACTTTAGACTAATAAAATTCCCAGAAGACAAAGTAAAAAATGTTAGATGTAAGAATAAAGTTCAGTGCATATTCCAGAAAAAGAAATTCGGAAACTATCTTGTGTTCCGAAGGAGACTAAACCACAGAGGCATCCTGGGTTTTAACGACTGAACGCCTCGCCTGGAGTGCAAGGTGAAGGTGAAGGTGGAACGTACCCCACATCAAACTGCTTCTATCCCCTGATCTTTCACACACGATCATTCTGCTTTCAACACTCCCTAGCACCTCTTGGTCTTATCTTCTCTTCATGACAACTCCGGCGATCTCCTAGGAGAATTCACTCCGTGTTCTGGGAGCAAATATACCTTACATGTATTTTGAGTGAGGAATACATCACATGACATTAAAGTTACCACTAAGCTCCTTTACAGTCATGTCTGACGTGTACATATGCACAGATCTTAGGCATACATATACCATCTGACCATGTAGCCGGCTCCCTGCCAGTCCTGAGCTCCTTGAAAGGACTATACCATACTCTTTTGGGTTTCCCAAGAGCCCAGCAAACGCCTCTGCATGTTATGTTTGTAGCAGGAATGTAACTATGGTAGTAGCACAATTTACAATTTACATTTTCAGAGAAGAATTGAAAAACAGGCCAAATTCACCTGAAACCGACAGGGTCACTTATACAGACACAATCTTATCATTTAAATTGAGCACGAAAGTTTATCTAAAAATAAGGGTAGCCTAAAACTATTTCCTAAATACCATCTCAACAACATTAACTCAAGTCCCCTTTAACAATTCTTCTGCAAACTTATTAAAAAGGAACATGTATTCTAGATTACCTAGTGTCCTAACGCCTAATGATTAATCATCTTTATAATTTCATCCTAGCAAGTGTCACTGCAGATAAAATTTTTAACTTAAACCGACTGTCTGGTCTTTCTGGGAATCTGAACTTGCCTCTAAGCAGTTCTACTAGAGTGACTCCTCACCTTTTTGGAATGATTGCAAATTATTCCAAAGGATTGTTAATTATAAAACCCCACCCTTCTCAAACGTACTGTAAGTATTTATTTTTAAACAAAAGGGCATGTTGTGTTCTCCAATTAATGACAGATTGCCTTATGTGTTCTAGAGTCTGCTTTTTAATTCACGTGATCCTTCTTTCCCATAAATAGACCACCTTCATTTGTTTATATAAAATGACATATTTAAATTTTTTTAATGGGGGGCTGACAAGAACTCTAGAGGTAGTTTGCACGTGAAGAAACTGAGGCTAGTGAGAGACAGTAATTCGTCAAGTTTCTCAGCCTAGGGTGTAAGCTCTAACCAGGTATCCTCTAAATTCACTTCTTTTCACCATCTCATACTATGCCGTCCAAGAAGTGAATTCCACACAATGAGCTAATGAAAAATTGTTATACTGCAGTGTCACATTTCCCTAAAAGTCTTAAGAGTTCCATAGAATTCATAATTCAACTCTATCCACCTTGTTAAAAAAAAAATCACTTTTTTTTTTTCGAGTTGGAGTCTCACTCTGTTGCCCAGACTGGAGTGCAGCGCCGCTCCCGGCCACCACAGCCTCCACCTGCCGGGCCCCGGCGATCCTTCCGCTTCCACCTTGAGAGTAGCCGGAATTACAGGCACGCGCTACCACGCCCGGCTGATTTTTTGATTTATTGTAGAGATGAGGTCTCGCCAAGTTGCCCAGGTGGGTCATGAACCCACAGGCTCAGGCCATCCACTCACCTCGGCCTCCCAAGGCGTGCGATGACAGGCTGAGCCACTGAGCTCGGCTAAAAAAATCACTTTTAAAACAAAGAGAAGGGCTAGGCACAGCGATTCATGCCTATAATCCCAGTGTTGTGTGAGACTGAGTCAGGCCTGGCCAGGATTTCAAGACTAGCCTAGGGAACGTCGCAGGACCACGTCTCTCCAAAAATAAAAATAAAACAAAAATTAAAAGTCGGTCAGGCATGGTGGCCCACATCCGCAGTCCGAGCTGGGAGGCTGAGGTTGAAGGACGACTGAGTCCCGCAGGCTGAGGCCTCGAGGAGCTGCGATCGCACAGCCGCACTTCAGCCTGGGTGACAGAGTGAGACTGTCTCTAAAAGTAATTAAAAATTTAAAGAATAAAACAGTCCGGGCTTGGTGGCTCAGCCTGCAACCCCACGCCTTGGGAGGCCGAGGTGAGAGAATTGCCTGAGCCCGCGGGTTCGAGAGTCACCTGGGCAACTTGGCGAGACCTCATCTCTACAATCAATCAAAAAATCAGCCGGGTGTGGTAGCGCGCACCTGTATTTCCAGCTACTCGGAAGGCTGAGGCGGAGGGATCGCTGGGCCCAGCAGGTCGAGGCTGTGGTGGCCGGCAGCGGCCACTGCACTCCAGTCTGGGCAACAGAGTGAGACTCCAACTCAAAAAAAATAAATAAATAAAAAATAATAAAAATAAAACAAAGTGAAGAATTTCTGGGGGCAGGAATTCAAGTACACATCTTTGCCACCACAGTTGCTGACTGTTTCACTGTAGTTTCTATTTTTTTTTTAGTTAGCATCTCTCTATCGCCCAGGCTCACAGCCACCCCTGTCGACCTCCTGGGCTCAGGTGATCCTTCTGCCTCAGCCTTCCAAGCAGCTGGAACTACAGGCCTTTGCTACCACACCCGGTTAATTTTTTTTATTTATTGTAGAGACGAGGTCTCTCCAAGTTGCCCGGGCTGGGCTCGAACCCGCGGGCTCAGGCAATCCCTTCGTCTTGGCCTCCCAAAGTGCTGGGATAGCAGGCTGAGCCACCAAGACCAGCCCACTATAGTTTCTTAAAAATTGAGACACTTAATCTGTCATGCATTCAACAAAAATTTATTGAGTGCCTGGCAGGTAGACAGACAACGCTAATCTTGAGATATACAAATAATTAATTTCCTAAAATAAATGTGACAACCCCTGGCCAGGATCTACCACTTTTCTAGCTCTTGTATTACCACTTCTTTCATTATTAGTAGTCACAAAAGCTCAGAAAGCTGCTTTGGGTTACAATTTTACACACACACACACACACACACACACACACACACGGAATCACACAGACACACAAGTACACTGTTGTCTCTCTCTGCAGCGTCCCTTGCTTCCACTGACACTACTTGTGCCCTGATCTCAGGGAACAGTCATTTATGCCCCCAAAGAATCAATTACATGACACAGACATATTTTAAGTATAAGTATCAGTTATTTCTTAGTGCCCCGGGTTCCACATGTGTCCCATTTCCCCAAAATCTTTCTAGAAGACAACATGGCAGTAAAGCCCTTAAGTGCCTCACCTGACATCCTGGCATGAAGATTCTGCTTCATGGAGACGCCCGCAGGCTGGGAAAGGGCCTGGAGTATGGCCCAGGCTGCCCTCCGCAGTGCACTGTCAAAAACAGCAAGTGCCTGGTCGGGGAGCACAGTGAAAAGTGCCCCAACCTCCATGTTGGTCTCGAAAAGGGTCATGGCATTAACCACAACTGGGTAATGCGCATCTTCGTCTCTCTCCTTCAAGATGAGAAGAATATCATGCTTATGGAATTCTGAGACATATGACTCAAACACTTGACCCACCAGGGTAACTTGATCGCTATTCATCTTGAATCCAGGTTCCTAAAGAGAAAGAAAAAAAATCATACTATGCCTCCGACAGTCAAGATTTATACACAGTCTAACAAAAATGACTGTTTGCTTATAAAGCATCCTGGCTTCGAGTCCCACTATAATCACAAAGCAATACCTGATTTCGAATCTTTATTAGATCTGAATTGTGTGTTACAGTCACTTGGTACATGCGCTTTAAAAATGAATAAAGTTAAATCTAAATCCAAAAATTATGTTAGTACAGATTATCCAAGTCCAAGAGGGTCCCCAGCATTTCCCCTATCTTTTCCCAAAACTCCCTCTCCATTAGCCCTACAATGTATTGACATATAGTCATGCACCAAATAACATTTCAGGACTGCATATAGAAAGGTGGACCCATGAAATTACAATACCGTATTCTCACTGTGCCTTTTCTATGTTTAGACACACACACGTCATTGTGTGACAGTTGCCTAGAGTTCAGTGACATGCTGCACAGGTCTGTAGCCTGGGCGCAATAGTCTGTCCACAGTGCCTAGCTGGGCGGCAGGCTCCACCACCTAGGCTTGTGCAAATACACTCTGTGATGCTTGTACAGGAACAAAAGTGCCTGACAGTGCATTTTCCAGAACGTCTCCCCATGATTAAGGGATGCATGATGGTATCAGAACTTACAGGCTACACATAAGAGGCTCCTGTCTCTTCCTTGGCCACATTCCCTACACACATTCGCTCTCAAGTATAAAACCCTAAACACACCTTCTGGCTGAAGTCACTCCCAGCTGAGTTCTTTGCAACCGGTTCTAGGTTTGGTTCATATAAAGGCATACTGTCCTTTTTTTTCTTTGGTCACATACACACACTCACGCGGATTCTGCTATATAAGTGGAACACAGAACAGCAATCAGATCTGATAGCCAATTCTAAGATAAATAGTCAACAGACTGGTTTTAGAAATTTGTATCTGGAGGTAAACTTGTTTCTTACTTTCTCTTCTTACTCTAGGAAAAAGAAGCTGGTTTCTGCAAAAACAGCTGTCAAAATGTAAAGAAAATAGGCTGGGAACAGCGGCTTAGGCCTATAATCCCAGCACGCTGGAAGACAGAGGTGAGAGTATTGCCTGAGCCCAGGGGGTCGAGACCAGCCTGGGTAACTTGGTGAGACCTCATCTCTATCAAAAAAATTGCCGGCGTGGTGGCGAGTGCCTGTAGATCTAGCTACTTGGAAGGCTGAGGCGGAAGGATGGTCTGAGCCCAGCAGGTCGAGGCTGCGGTGGCTGTGAGTGTGCCACTGCACTCAGCCTGAGTGACAGAGTGAGACTCTGACTCAAAAACAAACAAGCAAAGAAAAAAAAGGGAAAGAAAACAGATAAACAGAGGAAAGGAAAGAAATGCTGAGTCTTAGAATAATAAATAATTAGGGTAATAAATAAATAAATAGGATTGAAAATAAATACACATGTACCATTATTTTATCTATCTTCTTCCCTTGGCAATCTTTTTTTTTTTAAACAAGTGTACCTACAGATAAAAGGGGTCTACTCCCATTCTATTTTCATGTCTACAGCCAGGTAGCAAATTACATACATAAAAACCCAATGCGCCCTCCGTTTCCTAATGCCTACCATGGACACGGCACTATGCCAGTAAATGAAAAGTGTAGTGGCCGGTCCTCTATGTCCTCCCAGAGAGCCAAGTGACAAATCAAACAAGATGGTACAAATGCAGTTTGAACAGAAGCATGCAGGAGAGATTAAATTCAAATGAAGTGACAATCCCAGAGGTGGCACTTTGCAGTTACAAATAAGCTGTACAAAGACTATACTTCCAGGGATTATTTCTACAATTCGTTACTAGAGATGTTTCTCTGATCGTGTAGCACACCGAAGAAACATAAACGACCATGAATAGCCAAAACAGTCCTCAGCAAAAGAAACAAAGCAGGAGGCATCACACTTCCAGACTTCAACTTTTACTATAATCAAAACAGCCTGGTACTGGTACAAGAACAGGCACATAGACCAATGGAACAGGATGGAGATTCCGGAAGCAAAGCCTCAATTCCTCAACCAATTCATCTTTGACAAAGCCTCCAACAACAACCACTGGGTAGAGGAGAACCTATTCAGTAAATGGTGCTGGGAAAACTGGCTGACCACATGCAGAAGATTGAAACAGGACCCCTACCTATCACTACACACAAAAATTAACTCTAAATGGATCAAAGACCTATACGTAAAACCTCAAACTGTAAGAATCTTACAAAATGCAAGAGACACCCTTATGGAAATTGGAACTGGCAACCAATTCCTATTCAGAACCCTAAGTGCCCATACCATAAGAAATAAGATAGACAAGTGGGACCTCATCAAACTAACGAGCTTCTGCAAAGCAAAAGAAACCATCAAGAGAGTGGGGAGATAGCCCACAGAGTGGGAAAAAATATTTGCCAACTGTATATCTGACAAAGGCCTAACATCTAGGATCTACAAGGAACTC